GAGATGCTCCTTTTGCAGCAACACTCAGAGCAAGTAAATGGTGTGTGTGCAGCATCACCGCGCCACCGTTTCCCCCACCATGGTCTGGATGATCCAGCAGATAACAGCAGCTGCTCAGGAGCAAGAACGCAGCCAAATGTTGCTGCTAACAAGCATTTACTGAAGCTGGTTTCTTTCTGTGATTCCCAAGTGTCTGATTGGTGCACAGCTCCTCTGAGCAGTTTCCAGATTTTTCACCTTCTTCTTGCAAATATCCTTCTTTTTGGTTTTTTTTTTTTTTTTTTTTTTTTTTTTTTTGTTTAAATGGCATTATAAGCAAACCAGAATATGAGCATAAACCAGGGTTACAAACCAGAAGATGTAAAAAGAATTAGAATTGTTTAAATAGCTAAAAAGCGATCCACTTAAGTTTGCTTTTGTATTTGTTTTCTGCTCAGGAACACACTGTTTACGTGCTGTGGTCCTGCAGGCTGTGAGCACAGATGAGATGCTCAGCCACTGACTGTTTGCCCTGGGAGGAGGATTGGTATTTCCATCTTCTCAAGCCACATTTGTGGAGTGGTCCAGATCCCATCCTGAGCACTTGATGCTGCAGAGTGCTTCTTGAGAGCATGAGGGAAGGAAAATAAGTAGTTGCAAAGCCTGGGATGCTTTGCTGGGATTGCAGCAGGGTGTATGACCCATTAGCCCAAATCTCCAGGCTTGGGAGGATGGACTTGGACCCTTATTTGCCATTGCACTCCCAGTGAAAACAGACTGGGAAGAAGTCAAGGCAATGAGCTAGGAATGGCCCCTGGGCTGAGCCAGCATCCCATCCTCCTGGAAAGGTTTTGCCAGGGGGTGCCTCATCAGCTGAGCAGAGAGGAAGGAGCTGCAGAGATGGAAACATCCCTCCCCATGGTTAAGCTTATCTCACTGTACCTATGGGGAAGGAAAGTGGTTTAGTCCAAGCTAGTTCTTCCAAACCACAGTGGTAGGTAGGAGATGACAAGTGCCATGGAAGGTGATTCATCCCACCCTTGGGAGGTCCAGTGTAGGTGGGGGTGAATCACCCTCCAGCACTACCTGAGCCAGGACGGCTTCAGAGGAAATCACGTTGCGGGTTAGGAAACCCAGAACTGAAGTGTCAACACGCAGGTGTCTCAACGTGCACAGGGTGTCTGTTACTTCACTTCTGAACGGCTGAACAACGTGGGATGGGTCCCACCGTTCCTACCTGGAACCTATTTTCCAAGGTTTCGCACCACTTGCAAAAATAACAAGGAGCAGCAATACGAATTACAAGGCTCACATTTGTCAGCTGTGCTCACAGAGTCGTGGAATCAGAGAACGGTTTGGGTTGGAATGGACCTTTAAGGGGCATCCAGTTCCAACCCCTGCCCCGGGCAGGGACACCTTCCACTAGAGCAGGTTGCTCCAAGCCCCGGTGTCCAACCTGGCCTTGAACACTGCCAGGGATGGGGCAGCCACAGCTTCTCTGGGCACCCTGTGCCAGTGCCTCAGCACCCTCCCAGGGAAGAGCTTCTGCCTCAGAGCTCATCTCAGTCTCCCCTCTGGCAGGTTCAAACCATTCCCCTTGTCCTGTCCCTCCATCCCTTGTCCCAAGCCCCTCTCCAGGTTTCCTGGAGCCCCTTTAGGCCCTGGAGCTGCTCTAAGGTGTCCCCTTGAGGAGCCTTCTCTTCTCCAGCTGCCCCAGCCCAGCTCTCTCAGCCTGGCTCCAGAGCAGAGCTGCTCCAGCCCTCGCAGCAGCTCCGGGGCCTCCTCTGGCCTCGCTCCAGCAGCTCCACGTCCCTCTTGTGCTGTTCCCCAGAGCTGGACCAGGGCTGCAGGGGGGGTCTCCCCAGAGCACAGCAGAGGGGCAGGATCCCCTCCCTGAGCTGCTGCTGGTGCTGCTGCTGATGCAGCCCAGTGCTCATCAGTACCTTCTGCAGCTGGCCCTATGAGCCATGGTGAGAAGAACAAGAAGCCATGGCATCGTCAGCTGGGAAAGCGCCCCACATGCTTCCAGTCCCAGGTTTGATGCTCATCATGCCCATCCTGGCTGGGGAAGGGGAGCAGAATCTTGGGAAGGCACCTCCCAACTTAGCTGGGCTCTCACATGGATACCTGTGGCCTGGAGTCACCACACAACATGAACAATGGGAAGAATTAGGGTTTTCTCTAGTTCTCCCTCTCCACCCAAAACATGATGACTGCCAGCACCCGGCTCCATCCATCCCTACCCAACCCAGCACAACACGGGAAAATCAACCTTAACTCAGTCATCACAATGCTAACGGCCCTGTGAGTTGGAGCCCTTACCAGCTGGATGCTTAATTAATGTGTTATTATTTTGGCTTTCCAAAAAGTGCCTTTGGAAAGCATCAGATTTATGAGTCCAGGGAACATCCAATGACCTGAGGCCATAGGGATGGCCATGCTGACCCGAGGAGGGAGGCAGCTCAGTATCTGCAGTGGCTCAGTGTTCTCAGCATGGCCACAGGCAAGAGAACCAAATCCTGCTTATAATTTAAGATCATCAGTTAATGCAGTTTAATAAATACATGAAAGGATCTGGTATCTTTTTTCCCATCCACTTTCTAGTGTCAATCCAAGTTAAGGGTGATTGTCCCGTGAATAAGTAAGGCAAATCTGTTTGTGTGTGTGTTCCTCTCTCCTTTTTTTGTTTTGATTTTTTCCCCTATTGTTTTGTACATAAAGCAATCACATAAAAATAGTTATAAATAGAAAAATTGCAAAGGCTTTTCCCCGCTAGACAAATAGGAAGGAAAAAACAAACAAAAAAACCAACCCAACCAACCCAACAAACAAATCAAGACAGAAAAAACACCTTGCTTCAAGTCCTCGTAGATTATACAGTACTCAGCATCTTTGGATACTTTACAATGACTCCAAATCGTAGACAAAAAAACACCTGAAGTAACCGTCCATTTGCAAAACATCGCTCGTGTAAGAAGTTGGTGCGGATTAAAACAAAATAAAAGGTTTGATGCAGTTTTAAGAAGTTTTCTTCTTTTTTCTTTTGTGTTTTTAAACTCTCTCCATTGAGTTGTTGCACATGGAGTCTCTGCAGATTTCTGCTTGGAGGAGGAAGCAAGCATTGGGCAGTTCCTTGGGATCGTTCCTGCTAACGATGGTCTCAGAGCAGAAGTCCTTCATACCCTCATGGTGGGCTGTGGATCCCCTGTGTCCCCTCCCACTCTCTGGTGGGGACACCATCATCCAGCCACCGCGTCAGAGCGACACCATTGATGGGCAGGCCAAGAAGTTAACGAACCCGTGGCCCTTTCATCCCCTTTGATTCTGCTGATGTTGAAAGGTAACATTAAAAAGAGAAAGAAAAATCCCTAACTCGTAACATTTACATTATCAGGTGCTGGCTCCATGTAAAACCAGCTTCCTGGGGCTCCCACCTCAAGCTGTCTCAGCCAGTGGTGAAACTGGGGTCCCACCACATCTAAGAGGAGCAGTTGGAGGCAGATGGCCGTCAAAAGCCTTTATGCTCGAAAGCAGCTCCTGGTTTTAAGAGCTGCAGGAGGCTGATGAGGCGATTCCAGCCACATTTCCAGCCTCAAAAGAAATATCAGGTAGGGGTGGCCAAGCGAGGGTCTGCAGGGATGCTGCAGAGGACCCCGGACCTATTGGCCACCATGGGCGAGCTTCAGCTTGGAGCACCCCATCGTATGTTACCGCCTCACGTTTTGAACCAACAAATGCTGAAGAAACAGTACTTCTCCTTCTTGCAAGTAGACAATCTCATCTCCAAGACACCTTTAGTGGAACCCTTTTCCACAAAGATCCCTTGAGACAAACAGCAGGGATATTTGCACATCCAATTTTTTCCCATCGACATTGCAGATTCGGGGACACTCCAGTGTTTTGTAAATTTCGTCATCAAAATACGTATAGGAATTAGGGGGAATTAAGGACAAAACCCTATACATTTCAGAACGGTCAGCGGCGGTGAATTCTGACTCTTTGGTTTGAAATGACGTTTTCATTTCAAAATTCCCCCATGGTTTATTTTCGCAAAGCAAGGTTTTAATAAAAGCTCAGAATCAAAAAATTTCTGATCCTTCCGAAAGTTTTCCTTCACCTTTTCAAGCAACTGCAGTTAAAGTACTCAAAATAGGCTTTGGTTCTCCTTCCGAAGTTTTGAAATGGACAAAGAACCAAAATAAGTAAAAATCCCCTTTTCCACCCAGCTTTGCTTCTGGGTGATTTTCTATCTTTTTTTGGAAAAAAAAAAAAATTTTTAGGGTTTTTTTTTGTTTTTATTTTTTTTTTTAATGTTTTTAGGGTCCCACCTCAGGGCTTTCCCACCAGCCCTGCAAATCTGATATACCACTGAGAAAGCCAATGGCCAGGATTCTTCCCCTCCCAACATGGTTGCTTGACCCTTCCCTTTATCCCTTGTAGAATGAATATTGTTGCCAGACACAGGAATTAATCAAAAAAAAAAGGAAAAAAAAAAGAAAAAACCAAAAAAAAAGAAAGAAAAGTCTTTTTGACCAAAAGGGCCAAGGAATGTAACATATCAAAACCAAGTCTGGACGGCTTGTCAGTGTACAGTGGGTCCCACAGGTGGAAAATGGGGAGCACCTCCCCCCAGAAGAGCCATCTCATGGTGATGGCCATGCCCTGGACTAAGGCAAGTGACGTTTTTGGGAGCATTGAAGAGAGCAGCAGTCCTGGCCTGGCCTTCCCAGATGGAGCTGTGAGCGGTGGGTGGATGGATGGGGGCTGTAAGTGCCCCACAGCCCCCAAGCCAAGTGCATCACAGAGTCTGAAGTGCCGGGGCCGTGGGGCATAGGACCCATCTACCCACCCACTCGCCCCGGGGATGGCCCCATGCCCCAAGCCCCATGGCAAGCCATGGTAGCGAGGGGACACAGAGCTTCTTGGGAGCCAGACGATGCAAAAGGGCAGGCAGGAACACTGAGAGAGCTGGTCATCCTGTTGGGAAGGGAAACGGACCTATGGTGGGACCAGACGCAGGTTTATTTGCTTGCCTCTGAGATGGGAGCCACATGGCCGAGCCCTGCCAAGCCGTTGAAACCCGTGCTCCATGGATCAGGGAGGGGGAAGAAGGGTTGGGCAGCGAGGTTTTCATTATGGCCTAGGGCAAAGGCGAAGATGCTCGCGTTCCTCTCCATGTCCAGCTGCGCTCGCCTGAAGAGCTTCATCTGGGTTTCTTCAAACTGGCTCTCCAGCTCCTGCAGGCTGAAAGGGGACTTGGCCCCGCTCAGAAAGTGCTTGGGGCTGGGGCCGGGAAGGCACATGGCCGTGCTGCCGAGGTGGCCACTCATCTCCTCCAGAAAAGGGAAGTAGACCCGGCTCAGAAAGTGCTTGGGCCTGGGGCCGGGAAGGCACATGGCCGTGCTGCCGAGGTGGCCACTCATCTCCTCCAATGTTGGCGGCATCACAAAGCTCTTCTCCACCGGTGGGCCACCAGGAGCAAAGAGCAAGCCGGCTGCCCTCCATGCTGCGGGCTTGCGTCCTCTGCGGGGCCGGGCGATGCGGCAGCTCTGGCGCTTGATGTGGCGATGGAGGTGGTCGGAACGGGTGAAGCTCTTGTAGCAGAACTCGCACTGGTAGGGCCGGATGCCAGTATGGATGCGCATGTGGTTCTTCAGGTCATAGTTGTGCACAAACTTGGCGTTGCAGTGGATGCACAGGTATGGCCGCTCCCCAGTGTGCTTCCGCATGTGGATCTTGAGCTTGTCCTGCCTGCAAGAGAGAAGATGCTTGGTAAGGGATGCAGTTGGCATTGCTTCCTAGATCAGGAGAGGGAAAGGCACTCTCTGGGTGGGGAGCTCATCCCAGCGCTATCCCCGGTGTATGGATGCTCTTGGAAGCTGGTGTTTGCATCCATCTCCTCCTTCCCAGGGCGATCGCACAAACTGAGCTCTCCATGTCAGGAGTGTGCAGCCCATCCCAGAGAGTTCAAAACAGCCTAAACCGGAGGGAAAAACCTTCTGGAACAAACCCCAAAACCATATGGGAATATCTAAATAAGTACAGCTATATTCCTGCCTGAAAATAAGGAAATTAGTTGAGTTTCGAGAGCCTGGCAATGTGGAGGAACACTGCTCAAACGAACTCCCGCTTGGAGCCGATTTTCCTTTCCTTTTATCCTTGCGCTGACCACTGGGTGTCTCCAGAGCTCCGGTTTGCAGCGGGAGCGTGGCACAGGGTGAGGCAGCAGAGGTGCAGGCAGCGACTGGCACCGCCGTCCTCCCCTGCCACGCTCGCCAAGGTCAGCGCACATCCACCCTCACACACGTTTTGGGAAAGGTTCTTAAATACAACCATAACACCCACCCCAAAGGCACTTATTTACAAATATAGCGGGTTTCTTTTTAAGGGGAACATCTAAAACCAAGAATATTTTCCTAAGCTGGCAGTCCAATCAATGGGGTTTTTTTTCCCAATGAATGTTTCCTTCTGCAGTCTACAAAAATCTCAGCTAAGGCTTATTACTATAAAAAGTGAAGCTGACTGTAGCTGAACCAAGCCGAATGTGCTGCCCAGGCTGCACCAGTGGAGTTCTAGTAAGTAAACAGCATTCATACTGTGTTCCAAAATGCTTTTAGTACAGTCCCTCCAAGGCGTTAGTAATGCAGCTAAGAATATGTAGAATATATGGAGTCATGTCATTATTATATATAAAATATGTGAGCATGCAAAAGAAAAGCAAAACCCAACCCCAAAAATCTATTTATGCTGGCAGGTCAAGCCCTCAGAACTTGCAAGGTGCCTCTGCACTTATTTCTGCCACCCTGCCTTTGTGTATCTTGATATAGTTTTTGGTGATGAGACCAGCAGCACTCCAGTGCTGTGAGGAGTGCAGCCTTGGGACGGGCATCCCTGCACCCTAGTCCCTTGGGATCAAGGATGCAGACAAGTATCCCTACTGGAAGAGTCACTTCTTCATCAGATGGTACTTTATTGATTTTGGGAAGCCAGTCCCAGCCTGGGCCCACATCTGCAGCAGCAGCACAGGCAGTGGAGATGCTCCCTGCCTGTACAGAGGTTGTAACGAGCTCACATGAGCTTTACAACTCATGCAGATTTTTAGGGAGACAGAAGAAAAGCATCTCTTGGTCTCCACATGCCAAGCCCAGGGCCAGATCCCAACTTCCCACTCTGAAATATTCAAAGATGCTGTTATCCCAAAAATTTAACAAGGCTACATTTCCCCTGAATGGGCTGGAATCAGTTCTCAGCAGCACATGAAGCTGCATGGAAAATTTCATCCCAAATGGATAATGTGCAGCGAAGTCGTAAGCAGATGAACGCAGGGGCTTGCAATGCGAAATGTTGTGAAATGTTAATGAAAAGCAGAGCTACCAGCCCCACCTATAATATAATTTAAACCTATATATGTAATGTTTAACCTAGCAGGATCACTTTTCCTAATAAACAAGCAGCGCGCCAGGATTACTGTATAATGTAAATACAGGCAAAGCTTTTTTTTTCAGGCTATTACCCATCTCCGGCAGCAGATGGGGAGAAAGAAACTCAATCCTCCCTGCCCTGACTGCACCTCCGTGGGATGGAAGAGAGGTTTTATGGCTCTACCTGGAGAAGCTCAGAGGTTGGGGGTGTGTGAGATGCTCCGGCTGCAGTGAAGCACCCGGGGGAGGATGCAGCACAGGGAACACAGGCTTTGCGACATGGGAGAAAGGGATCCGTGCTCCGTGTGTGTGAATAACCTTAATGCAATTGCATTAGGAGAGCGATTAGGGCTCTGCGAGCTGTCACAACACAAATAATAGGAACAAATAATGTTAACCTTTCTGTCTGGAACAGTTTCTCCTTGAGCACTCCGGGGCTGTCTTGGAAAAACTGAAATATTTGCAGTTTTCTCCAGCATTTTAGCAGGGGAAACCAGCAGAGTAGAAGCTGAGCAGCCTTTGTTTAAGGAAAAAATTAATGATCTATTAAATGAAGTCCTGCTTCCTGCGATCAGATGTCCCTGGGAGGCGGGAGTGCCAGATCCAGGTGCATGTGGGGTCCTTGCCATGGGATGTGGGAGCCCCACTGACATGAAGGGAAGGGATCTGATGGGGGAAGACTGTGGGACTCAGCACCCAGGGAAATGTATTTTCTCTGTTTGCTAATTTGCTTCTCCACAGTTCCCTGAGCGCAGAAATAATGCAAAGGACTGATCCGGTCAGAAACCCCTTTTGGGAACCTTGGCTTCCCCGCACCCTCATTCCCATGGGATCCCGCAGGCAACCGTGTGGGCACGCATGTCCCTGGCGAAGGCACTGCTCAGTAGCGTGGGTGCCAGTCCGATGCTTTCGGGAAGCATCAGATTCCCCTCAAAGAGCAAAGCACGTAATGCGAGTGGCGGCGCTCAGGAAATCCCGGCACAAATCTCTTCCTGCATCTCAATCACTCCACTTTGCTTAAATACACTTTTCCCTACTGGAGAGCTCTCACATTAGAGTAATGCTGCAAACGGCTAAAAAAACCCCAACCAACCAACCAAAGCCGACCAGCTGCGTGTTATCCAAAATGCATTGAAAATAAACCGGTGTTTTGAGATTTCCACTTTGCTCAGGGTGTTAAAGAAACAAAACCGCTCCAGCCTCCAGCTCTGTGCGGAGTGACCCAGATGAACAGCTTTGGTTTTGTGAATGAATTTGGGAGAACATCACCCACACCACTGAGTTAATCCCTGTCTTCTCTGGGGTTATCTTCCCGGGTTAAAGTCCTCCTGCCCCTGTGCTTTGTGTTTAGAAGCTGTTAAGTGTATGAGAGGGTGTCTGGTTTAGCCCTGTGTTTGTAATGGGCTGTGCTAGACCATCTCTGTGTGGAGCTTTTAACCTCTGAGATGCTAATTTAACCTGTCTGGATTAGGGGTCAGGATACCTGAATTCCCACCTGAACCCTCCTACTAACCTCAGCAGTGACTATGAGTCAATCCCAACATTGCTCCGTGCCTCAGTTTCCCCAAACGAGGCCAATGATGCTGCCCTTCCTTGTAAAGGACTTCAAGAGCCCTCTGGGAGGGCTCAGATTTATTATCCCCACTACAGAGAAGGTGGTGATGATGGGTCAAACCAAGCTATTTGGCCAGCAGTTAGCACCCACAGCATCACACCCAGGACAGCGATGGGGACTGCAGGATGGGGCTGTCCAGGTCATCCCTCCAGCCCGGGATACAGCCACTCTCACTGGGCTGAACCCATCCCGCTCCTCCCAGCAGAGCCCACCCATCTGGAGGTGACAACCCAGCGCTAACCTCGGGATGAAGCAGGATGCGGATCCGAATTCCTACAGGCAGGAATTAGCACCCAGCAGCGGCCTTTCCCCTGCACATAGCAGGGGGAGCCGGCTCACGTCGCATGCACCCGCCTGAGGGATGATGCTCCCCGCATTATAATACAGTGTCTGCTGCGTTGATGGAGAGGAGCATGCAAATTTATTTTCAGGTCAAATCCTCATCATCTGCATAACTTCCACTCGAATATTATCACAGGGATGGAGAAGAAAAGGCAGGCTGAATGTGGGAGCACCCCAGGTGTCCGGCCATTGTCAGGAGCTCGCTTTTGCCTACTGTGCATATTATTTTCCTCTGGTTTGCTCACCCCAGCTTAATAGGGCTCTCTCTCTCACACGCAGCCAGGAGCTGAAATACCATGGTCTTGTCAGAAAGCTTTATTATTATGGTAAAGATTGTACTCATTAGATATTAATTATACCCAGCAAGAGCAGGTCCAGGAATCTATTTGTCTCTGCTCACCGATTAAATTTGCCCAGCTTTTCAGAGAAGGGTTGCAAGCAGTAGCATTAGATTTGTGTAGCCTGCTCTGATTTATTACCATCGAGGGGTTTGCTGGGGTGAAGAGAAGTGCAAAGGCTGGGATTTGGAAGCAGGGGTGGACCTGACTGGTCATACCTGCCTTGGAGCAGCCCATGCTGGGGCTGGTCTCACCTAACCTATGTACCTAAAAGTTAGCTGCCCCAGCTAAGCCCTGTCTTTGGGGTCAGGGATGGCCCCTTCACTCATTCCCTTCCCTCATCTTCCTCTCTGAGCGTGCTGATCTCTTCCCACTGACCATGGAGGGAGTCGAGGCGCCAGGCTGCTGGGTGGCCAGTGTTCAGGGCGATGAATCATAGAATCACTGCAGTTGGAAAATACCCTGAAGATCATCAAATACAACCGTGAAGCCAGCACTGCCAAGTCCACCACTAAACCATGTCCCCAAGTGCCACATCCACAAGTCTTTTAAACACCTCCAGGGATGGTGACTCCACCACTGCCCTGGGCAGCCTGTTCCAGCACTTGACAATCCTTTCCATGAAGACATTTTTCCTAATACCCAGCCTCAACCTCGCCTGGTGCAGCTTGAGGCTGTTTCCTCTTGTCCTACTGCTTGTTACCTGAGAGAAGAGACTGACCCCACCTCACTGCTAACATATAATAATTAGGACCCAGCCTCAGAAAGGCCAGACACCGCCATGTCTAAACACGTGGAACTGGGTCGTGGTCTGCACAGATGCCAAAATGTGCAAACTCAAACTAATTACATCCCACAGCTAGATGGCTCTCCCAGCTCAACGCATCTCCCAGCACATCAGAGACGAAGCCTCCTTGGCTGTTTGACCATCTGTTTTCCAGCTCTTTCTGGTTCAACTGTGGTGAACTATGGTGGGGTTGAAAATACCCTGTTGCTTATTTAAGCTTTTGCCCAGTGAGGGGATGGATCCAGTAAGTCGTGAATGTGATCCACAACCCACCAAAATCAGTAGGTTCATTTATTTCCTCTACCCTGCCTTCCTCCCCTTTTTGTTTTTCAGAAGGGATAGAGACCATGCCCTGCCTTGTTTGCTGCTTTTCATGGGAAAAATAGATGTGTAGCTTAGGAATCACCCACGGGTCATGATGTGGCCCCTCCAACCACCACCACCACCCTCCCCACGTATGGCTGTGCACAACAGAGGTACCAAACACATACCTGGTAAAGCGGACTTCACAGATATTGCACATATACGGCTTCTCTCCCGTGTGGGTCCTCATATGCCTGGGCAGCTTGCCAGCTCCCATGATGACTTTGTTACAGATGGGGCATTGCTGGGACGCCTTGGGCTTTATCTTCCTCTCTTCCTCCAGGGGCCATGGTGGAAAAACTCCTCCAAACTGGGTAGCGCTTAGGAAATTGAGATAAGCGCTATACTCAGTCTCAGCCTTAATGTGCCCTAAGGGAGCTGCTGGGGTGTTGGTAAATATGTCCTTGAAGAAGTCATTAGGGAAAGGAGGCGGAGGCAGGTCTTCCTTCTCCTCCTCTTCCTTGATCTTCCTCTTTTTGATCACCAGATCTAAGGGGCCGTTGTCTACTTGTGGCTCCTTGAGCTGGGAGAAGGAGTTAAAATCACCGTTCCATAGATGTGGGAAGAAGCTAGGGGCAAAAGGAGAGAGAGCTGGCCTCCTTTCTGGGATGTTCGCCTTAGGGTACAAGTTTTCCCTTAGCAAGGACTCGATGGAGAAGTCTCGTATCACGCCCAAGTGTCCAGAGGAGTTGTTGGCTGGGTAGTGATTTGGACAGTCTTTAGGTGCTTCTGTATATGCTTCTTCGGTAAGATCAGACTTAGAAGGGCTTTGGTGACAGCTTACTTCTTGGACATCGTTTAGGTTCTCCTGATTGACAAAATTTTCCACTTCCTCCTCCTCCTCCTCTTCCTCCTCCTCTTCATCCTCATCTTCATCATCATCTTCGTCGTCTTTGTCATCTTCCTCTTCTGCCTCTCTGTCAGGCTCCATGATTTCAAGGCATACGTTGATAATGCACTGGATCTCCAGCATCTTGGCAGCGCTGAGGATGTGCTTGACATTTGAGGTGGTGATGGTGAGGGTTGAGGTGTAGGCAAACTCGAGGATGGCAGAAAGTGCTTCAGGCTTGACAAAGTCAATCTCGTAAACATAGGGCTGGTCTGTTAAAGTGCCGGTAGTGAAGAGTTTTTTGAAGTACTTGCTGCAGGCAGCAAGGACGGACCGATGGGTCCGGTACTCCTGGTCCTGTACAATGAGGATGACATCGCAGAGGAGACCGTCATGCCGCTGCTCGTTCAAACCACATAAGACTTCGCTGCTGTGGTTTGGGAATGGGATCCCAATAAGATCTTCAATGCCATTGGCCATATTCTCATTTAGTGCCCTAGGACAAAACACAGACAGTGGAGCATTAAGCAGGGGATTCACAGTCAATAATGCTGAAACGACCCTGACTTCTCTTGGTGTCCTCCTCTCCCTTGCCTCACTTATAGCTCAGTAATCACCCTCTGCTTGCACTGCCCCCCTGCATCTCCATGTCACCTTCAACACCTTCCAGGTCCTCTGTGATTTAACCTCTGCTTCCTTCCACATCTCTTCATCTCTTCGTTTGTCTCCATCCTTCTCTTCTCAGTTCCCACCCTATTCACCTTTTCATAACCACCACAAGCTCCCTCTTCTCTTCCATGTCCCTCCCCCAGGAACCTTGTGCAATGACTTCCCTCCCTGTCACATTTCCTCCACATCCTCCCACAGCCAACATCTTTCCAGGCACATGTTGGCTTTGTCCTGCCAGGAACTATGTGGGGAAAAGGCAACACTGTATTGCACCACACTGCCAAGTGCCAGCTCCTACACCGCTTAAACAAGATGAGCCAAGAAGAGCCCCTCTCATCCATGCAATTGTTTTGGGGACTGGTATAACTGGGTGTCCTGAACAGGAGGGACTGCTGGTCATGGCTGTTTGCTGCAGTAGGACAGAGGTCCTTACGGACTAGCAGGTCTCCAGCTCTGTGGCCTCCTGCTACGTCATGCCTGGAAGCTATCCCATGTTACCTTAGCATGTAGGCAGCCCGCATAGGGATGTCTTCCCAAGGTAGCTGGGTGGCAAGAGAGGTGTCACAATGTACCTGACCACTGACAGAAAGACAACCAGGGATGAAGGGCCTGGCCAGAGCAGATTGACTGTCTGCTGTCTTCACCTATGGGCTTGCTCCATCCCTAATCCTGTTTTGACTTGTTAGCATGGTACCAAATGCCCTGTTCATCTGGCAGACACCTTCTCCTGCTACTGCAGATCCAGCTTCAAAGGGAAATTTGGAAGCAAAAAGCCCACGCCCAAAAGGAAAACCTGATTTCCCCCCCCCTTTTTTTTAATCTGTAAGATATTTCCTCTTTCACATGGCTCCAGCAGCCCTTCCACATGAGAAATCCCAGGAAAGGAGACCGACTTCCTCCAGCAGGCGACGAATACATTAATCCCATCACACACAGAATACATCAAACAGCCAGAATAACTTTGAATACACTAACCCTTTGGAAACCCCCAGGACACAGAGCATGTATTCATGCAGACAGTTCACAGCCGAGGGGTTAATCTCCAAGGGAGCCCATGGTAAATGTAAGTAAAACTGCAGCCTCACTCCAGCCCCTTTCACAAGGCTGAGACCATCAGGCAGGTTCCCCATCCCACCCTGCACCACCTCCACATCTCTCCTGGGGTCCATCGCCATGTCCTGGGTGTCCTTCCCCACTCAGTTTCTGATTCCAAACCTCTTTCCCACCAGCTGTAGGGACCTGGTCTACCCCATGGCAAGGGTCTGGCTCCCACCCAACAACCTTCCTCCAGCCCTTGGGGGTGGAAAGAGCCTGGTGCAATGGAGAAATCCTTGGCCAGCAAGCCAGTGACGCTTGGGGGATGCTGGGGAGCCATGGGGGCGATCCGACTGTAGCAAACATTCCCGTGGGAAGAGGAATGCCATCTCCCTTCTCCTCCCTCCGCAGGGTCAATCTCCAGCCGAGACCTTGCAGACATCTCCCCCACACCTAATCAGCACTGCTGTGTGGGAGCCGGCAAGCAAAAGCCTTGGGAAGACAGCACAACATAGATGGATCACACCCCATGGAAAAGTTATGGACCACAGGGAGCAATATGGGGACGGGGCACAAGCTGAGCTAGTGAAGCCTTGCAGGGGGCTGGAGGGCAGCCCCACCATGGGACCCCTCTCCAGCACCTCCCCATGGCCAGAGGTGGTGCAGAGGAACTGGGAATTACACTCCTCCAAGCCCCCCTCCACTCCAGCCACTGGTATTTGTGTCCAAGGAATGATGCTCCACTCCAGCCCCGCATCCCGCCGTGTGCCCATTAGCTCCACACTAATTATGTCTGTTGTCTGAAACAAATTGATTCATTACAGTGTGCTGTGCTTAACCGTGTTAACTAGCTACGCTCCTCCACCAGCCTGACCGGCTCCATATCAAGTCTTCCTTGAAAATCACAGATAAATGGAAGTAAATCCAATGTGCACTCCAAGTGGAGTGTAAGATAATGAATAACCCCTGAGCCAGGGAGGAAAACACAACTTCCTTTTTAGGCCTTTGTATCCTTAATAATAAGCATAAGCAATTAAATTTTTATTGCTGTATTTATCTTCTACTCGTTTATTTTTGTTTGGAAGGAGCATTAGTGTTAAAGGAGCTCTTTGCATGAAGGAACGTGTCTCCCTGTGAATCTATTTTGATCTTTTATTGCCAGATCACCCTAAGTGCAAAAGATCAGAAAAGCAGAATATGAGGATACCCTGCAATTAATCTTACAGAGGTTTTTTTGGGACATTAAACTCCATCCTCCTTGATCATGGATTATTAACTCAGCACCAAGAAAGCAGGAAAAAAATTGAATTAGGAGATCAGGGGCTATACGTGATTATAAAACGAAATGATGTAAAGCTCCATTTGGTGGAAACGGACTCCTCTTCCTTCCCTCCTGCTCCTCTCCAGGTGTGGTTCTGTTAACTGAAGCACTTAGGTAAGCTGATAAGGCCAGGATGCTGGCAAAAGTGAAGGTGATTCCTGTCATTTAAACTGGGGAAGAATCAGCCCGTTCATTTGCATGCATTTGCATTTTTTTAACTCTCGGGGTGGTTTGACAGCTCCAATCTCAGCAAGCCTGAGAAATGACCTTATGGTTCCCATGCCCCCAGGGAGTCTGATGGCCAGAGGCTGGAAGTGTGCTGAGGTTGACGTTTTCCTTCCTCTCCCTCCCTCCTCTCCCTCCTCCTGGGCTCCCCCCTTCCCCTCCCCAAGCCAAGGGTGGGGTCCTCAAGAATAACAGGCATTAAAAATAGCATCCGATGGTGACAAATGCCACCAGTGCATGCACACACACGTGCAGACACTGAGCGGGCGCCACGGGGTTAAACAGAAAAGTCACATTTTATAATAGTTACAGCATTGTTAAAATAAACCGGGGGGGGCGGGGGGAGAGGGGAAGAAGGGTGGAGGGCACCTAAAATAAATGTATTCTGCAGATGATGTCTCGGAGCACTGCATTTATGGGCATGCTTAAAACTCATTCATTACTTTCTTGCCAGGAAAAGCCCCATTTATAAAAGCTTTGTTCCCTTTTTGGGTGAAAATCGTTCCATTTTTAGGATGGATGGTCCCCAGGTACGAGCCAGGGAACACAGTGGTATTATAAACCGCCTGTGATGTACACTCCCTGGGTGACCCAGAGCTCATCCAGAGCACTCTGCTGCTCAAAAACCCTTCTGGTTTTTATTTTTATCTTTTGGTTGCTTTATTCTCACGTCTCCTTTTAACTTCAAGACTCATTCAGTATAATACAGCCTCTGAAAACCAGTAATATAAAACCGAAATATCATAGAGAGGTGAAATGTTCATTTAGCATCGTGATAAGTAAAAAAATACAAGTATACTCAATAGGCTATAGAGATAGTATGTATAGAATATAGATAAACTAATATTGCCTATATTCATTTATATGAATGGAAATGGGGGACTGCCGCATCTTGGAGGAGCCCTGGGGAAGATGTGCCAGCCCTGAGGTGGGACAGAATCCTGTCCCTGGGTCTCACTATTGCTCAAAGCCAGGAGCAGGAGACCTGTGAGGGCTCCTCACCAGCACTTCCCTCTCCCACCTCCTTCCTCATCTCCAGCGACACCACCCTGCAAAGCCCATGGAGGAGATAAGGGCTGCCAGGAAGAGCCCAGGCTTGTGCAATGCATGGCTCCTGGTTCAGGGTTATGGCTGGGACTGGGAGATGTTCCCTTCCCATCCACCTTATCCATGGGAACAACGCTTCGCAATCTGACTCTCAGCTGGGAGACGGCAACATCATTACTACTACATGCAGCACTGATGTTTTTATGTGTATACTTTATACATTTCTGATTTTATACAATCACATATTTTATGTATCTGTATGTACTAATTTGCATATGTTTATATATTTATGACATGATATCTATATATAAATACGTTTATATTTTAAAATATTTCCTATATTTCCTTACTTAGTATTTCTCCATTTCGATATTCATATAGAGATTCCCAGAGCATTTTGTCTTAATATGTGCATTGCTTGGCCTTCTCTTTGCTACAGTTTTCCCCACAGGAAGGTGCTCTGGCTCCTGACTACATTTCTTTTTGGTGTGCCTATATTCACTGTCACCAGGAAGACATGGGGGTGCCCCAGGGTAAGCTGGGGAGCAAGAAGTGGCTGCATCCCCCTCCCATGCCATGCTCATTCTGCATTCAGCACAGCGGAGGAAGGAGCCCGAGGCTCTGGCTGATCTCTGCCTACTACTGGTGTCAAAATGACATTTTTCCAGGCAAAACGATGGTGTCTCCAATTCTTCCCTTCACCCAGCCTATGCACTGAGCAGGGCTCGGGGTGCAAGCCCAGAGGCAAGGCTTGGGGTTGAGCATCCCCTCCCCAGCTGGATCCTGACACCCAGCACAGCATCCCTGCAGGCACAAACTCCCAGGAGGGAATTGAGCTCTATGCCTGAAGCATGAGGCATCAGAAAAGCACCCCAGAGGTGGCTGGACCTGGATTCAGGGTGCTGAGCATCCCTGGCCACCCCAACCTGCTGCCTATGCAGAAGGTCTCAACACTTCTCCCCACCCCTATTTATTTCCATCACCCAACTCTCTCCCTCCCCTGCCCGGGGTGCTCAGCACCCCAAGGTAGAGACGCTTTGGTGCTGTTTTGCTACGTGCTCCTCTTTCCCAATCCCTGCTCCAGGCTGCCGGAGCGGGGTGGGCTGGCTGCTCTCCCTCTGCATCCCACCATGGTGCCATGTGTGTATGGACCTGCCTACCACATCCATCAGCCCGTAAATAT